AATTAAAACTGACTGAATGTAAAGAAAAAAAGTCAAAACGAAGTAAAACTAAATTATAATGAAAAATCCAAAACTATTATAACCTTGCTGTTACTTAGGAAAAGACAGCTGGTACAGGTTTGTATATTTAAAAAGGAGACATATGATACAGTGCTTTGGTCTGAATCCCTCATTACTGTAACTCCACAAGCCCCCTTTTCACCAGTTTGATAGTGGGGTTTACAAYGATCCACCTTACTCCTGGAGGTGTTGCTGTATCAGAAACACTGTAGCAGTAAGCTTTGKTTAACAAAGGCAGCAGAGCATGGACCATGGTTTATTTGAAAGTGATTTGTGTTTGGATTACCAGAATAAACTCYGTTTTTGTTTTGTTTACATTTAACAACTGTAGCTGTGTTTACAAATGGCCTTKCAGAGTCCAGGAACCTGTTTTGTTGTTCGTAGCTGCACGAAAAACCAGTTTCCATCTCCTACCCTACAGATGAGGAATCAAGAAGAATGTGGCTGAAAACTTGAAACCTGAAGCGACCCCCAAAACGCTGCAGGTTTGCTTRTTTCGCTGTTTACAAACAACCCATGGAGAAAAACCCACAGCCTGCTTTGTGGCTCGATTACAGCAAACCAACAGAGAAGAGATGCCGGGTCCTCRGGAGGAGGAAAATAGTGTGACGAGAATATCAGGTATGATTTCAAGTTTTTATAAAAGCAGTGCGTATTTGTTCATAATTGGTATTAAGTTTTTATCTGCAACTAAAATGCAATGAGTGTTTAAAGCACAGCAGGCCAGAATAAAACTAAATATATTCTACTTTCACAACAGACATGTTTAACACCAGAGACGTTTTTTTCTTACTCTAAATTTTACATGTAATAGTGCACCAGGTTTTACATATTTTTCTAGAGGGCCTAGGTCAGGGCTAACAAATGACAAATATTTCAGAGTGGCTTCAGCTGGCTGGACTCTGTCTGCTTTAAGGTACATAAGATTCTGTCCTGCTTCTTTTAACAAAATATGATCATCATCATCATTATTATTATTATTATTATACTGTGCAGGTACTGATTCACCTCAGAGCTTTTCATGTTGTTCATCGCTTCACTGTCTGAAGTAAAGAAATCAATGGAGTAACTAAATGTATAATCCTCAGYCACTTCTTCAGGYCGTCCTCTSATCCCTCTACGGTAKTAAGCAGTGGTATTATTATATTGTCCAGTTTGATCCATGTCAGGTGTTCCTACATTTTTAAAACCACAATGCTCAGAGAAACACAAATTAAAACTGTCCTGCCAGCTGACTGCAGTACCTGAAGTGTCCACAAGAGGTCAGACATGGACAACGTTACAAATTGAGTTCATGATGTTTAAATTAGGTTTAGGTATTTCATACAGAATCAAGGTTTTTAAATAATATGAGTTTTGATGTGGAGACAGTTAATCTGATCATTTAACCGGTTTTAATCTCTGCTTGTTTTGCTCTGAAAATCTGCAGCCGGACTACAGTTTTTATTCTTTTTTTCCTCCCAATCCTCATCTTTAAAAACCAAAGAATGTGTCTCTCTTCAGGTTTCTTAGAGAATCTGTTCTTCTGATTACATTCTGTAAATACATCATTTCCTGCGTGTCGTCATCTTAACCTTCACACAGCACTAAACCAGTGAGGGTGCATTTCTTTCTCCTGGTTCAAACAAACTAAAACAAACATTCCAGTGCAACCCCACCTCCTCCAGCTTTCTCACATTTTACTTCTCACCTTTTTTTTTCTTGACTAACCTGTATCATTGTTTAAAAGAAAGGCTTTGCGGACACAGATTTCCATCAGTTTTATGGCTYAAAGTAAGTGAAGAATGTGAAAATAAATAACGCATTTTAAACACATAAGACAGAAAACTTTAACAGCTTATGGGTGTGAACTCTAAGATATTTAGGCCGTGTTAATCGTCTAAATAATACAATAAACGGCAAGAAAATTAATAAGCAACAAGGTGCCAACGCAGCTACAGAAAGCCATCCCACTTTTCCACTTTACTGAACATAAAGCTTATTAAAGTCTGCAGGGAGATACTTTCCTACACATTCATTCTAGGATCAAATGAGTCCGTTTTGAAATGCACCAATTTGTCAGTCCTTTGTAAGAAAATAAAAAGAATTCAATCTTTTACCTTTCATTTTGGGGAGAGAGAAAGAGAAAAAGGCAGCTTAAAAACACACAACTTCAGTCCCACAAACTGCAGGTCTGCCTGTGTCTCTAATGAAGTGTCAACAATTAAATAACCAAACAAACAAAAGTTCTATGGGGGTCAAACATCACATCAGACCTCATGTGTTGTGATGTTGTAAAGGTTCTGTCACACATCAAGTCAAGTAAAACTTTATTATCCCCAAGGGGCAATTTGTTGTGCAAACAGCAGGGAGAAAAGAGTCCATATTAGTCTTTACGATGTAAACCTGGAATTGTCCAGGATAACAGCAGCCAGAATAAAAGAGTTTTTCAGTCTTAGAATTCTGGCCACAAACATTTTCAACAACTTATCCCATCTTCTGAAAAATTTGTTATGACCATTTTACTCATACTGGCTGTATATTCAATCTAATTGTTAGCATTGCAGTATTTGCCCAAAAGAGGCTTTCAATAGATTTTTTTTTATTCCATCTTCAGCTTTGACATATTTAGTTTTGGACAAACGTTTCACACGTTGTCTAAAACGTTACAGTGCAGCAGGGAGTTACGGAAGAAGTCTAGATGTGATGCAGCTCAGGGTGTGTGTGTGTGTGTGTAAACAAACATTAGGTGGGTGGGTCTGACCCTGACAAAGCACAGACACATTTCCATTCACCCTGTGGAAGACAAATAAAAAGCCACAGCTTTGCCTGCGACTTTGCATGAGATGCAAATGAGAGGACATTTGTGGAGAAATGGAATATAGAGAAATGGGAAATGGCTGTAATGATATTTGGTCAAGTTCTAATTTCTTCCTGAGGTGATGTCATTGCTTACAGCCCACCGATTATTCCAACTAAACCCCACTGGGGGGGCCGTCGTTTCCTAATATGACAAATTATAGTGTAGAGTCATCAAAAACCTTTTAAACAATTCCTCTAACCAGCATCATTTATTCTGAACTTTAGTGAATAAATATACTTATAGCTAGCAAGCAAGCCAACCTTAGTTTAACATCAGAGAGATCCACTCCTACAGACTCCAACTACACAACAAAATGCTTCTATCAGCTAAAAAAATGCCTTGCAYGCCTTTAATCCAGCATGCTGGTCCCTCTCTGCTGTGCTGCAGCTCTGCCTCCCAGGTCTCTTCCTGCAGAGTCTGTCAGGTACATACAGGCTGGTAACATGGCAACTGTTGGAGCAGCCGTTGACTGACRGTGAGAAACTCCTCCTGGTTTTGCCAGGTGCTTTTCACTCAGTGGATTCTCGCAGACCAGAGCAGCTGATTGTTCATCTTGTGTGTTTCTGTCAAAAATTCAGATTTCTTCAAACTAAAACTATTTCTCGGTCTGCAGGAGGAGCCGTCGGTCATCCAGGTTAGAGGGGAGAGTGAAAAAAACGAGTATCCAGAATAAAAACATTCAAGTCTGTGATTTCTGCTGCTTTTTTCTAAACAGCAACTCCTCAAGTCCAAGTAATTGATTTTCCTTATCGTTGGTCAGCCTACGCAGAGTGTATTAGTGTGTTCAGGTTTCCAGGGCAGATGTATAAAGCTCATCTGACACCACCTACACACACACACACACACACACCATCAGCAGTCAGATAAGGCTGTATCAAGTGAGACGCAGCCTCACAAAGCAGGGCGGCAGAAAAGTTTTAAATCTCAACTCTATGCGACCCAGCAGCTCAGACGACTGCGATCATGTCAACCGAATGGCCGAGGACCAAACCTGCTGACTCACCGTGTTGAGGTCGGAGGAGGAGGCTGCGGAGGGCGTCGGGGAGTGATGGTGGTTATTTGTGGCCGCGCTGCTCGTGGACGAGGGGTTGGTCTTGACAGATGGGCGGTTGGGGTTGCTGTTGTAGTCCGCCGGGGGGAGCACCATGGTCGCCTCGTCCGTCTCCGTGTCCTGATGGTGGAGGTTGACCACACTTTTGCTGCGGTACGGGGCAGCAGCGTCGCTGCGAAGACAGGAGAAGTAGGGAAAGACGTGGGAAACTTTCTCCTCATCTTTCATTTACTCACCACAAGCTGGTGCGTGATGAGTTTAGGGAAGGTTTACATTTAAAATCAGGGAAGAATAATAGAAATATTGTAAAATAAAGTTACAAAATTAAAAAAAAGGTCAGGAGTGCTGCCTCGTTTAGTTTACACTTTAAATTTCTGTGACTGGTGTTAGTTGGTTAAACACATCTCTCTGGGAACACATTAAAATATAAATATTCTCTGAAAAAAGGTCCAGAATCAACTCGAAATCTTTTCAATCTCTTTGATCAGCAGCAATATTTATTTAYCAGCACAAAACATCTCATTTTCTTGGATTTTGCTGCACTTTTCCACAAAAATTCTAATCACTGCAAAGATTTAAGAGCTAGAGTTTTAGAGTCTACTCATTTTAAAACAATAAMGCATAATATCATCATCATAAAGAAAAATGCATGATTTAAAACAAATTAAAGGATTATTTTCTGCCTCAAAGTGACTTAAAGCAGAAATGATCTTAAAGGGATAGGTGAGCTCTTTTATGGGTTTTGTGGAAGAGTTTGAAAGGATTTCATGTGAACTGGACAATGATGTAAAGGTTTATAAAGTAGTGTTCACTCAATCAGCTTTTTACTTTAGGACAAACTGTTGGCTCAGCTCATCATTCCTGTCTGAATCAACTATTTCTATGAATTTAAGTTGTTCAAAAGTGCCATTTGATATATTTATTCCACAAAACCCCACTGTAAAACAAACCAAACTCTCCCTTTAAGGGCAAGAATCAAGAGTTGAGCAACAGAAGAGTTCCCCTCAGGATTACAAAGGTTGTCTCTTCAATAGAAGTAACTAGAGGAAACACAGCCAACAATACGGCTGGCTGCAACCTGAGCCCTGCTGCTGTGTGTGCCAACATGAATGTAGAGTCTCCTTACCTGTTGTTATTCACCAGAGGCTCAGTGAGAGCACGGCAGTACGAAGACGGGAACCAGCCCCTCCTGACACACACAAACAAGGAAGTTAGGAAGAATTACACCTGCAGTCCCTCTCTGCTCTCGAGTCACAGTCAAACCAGCTCATCACTTTTCTAAAGTCCCGTTGTCGACTCATCTTTTCCTTTTTTCTTCCCCTCAACTGGTGCAGAAGATGGAAAGAAAAAGATGTTTGCACAGATTCACTTCATTTTTCCCACAAGATTGGTCTGAAAGAAGTTGCCTTTTTTAGGCAGCCTCTACACTCTGAACTCAAGTCTGTGCCACTGTGGTAACAAAATAACAACAACAACAACAATAATAACAATAATAATAATAATAATAATAATAATACTTTATTATTATTAAGTTGATTCACCCTTTAACAAAAAAGACTGATTCAAGTCGTGTTCTGAAACTTTAAGACCTTGAATGAATCCCTTCAGGTTTAATCCATGAGTCAGTTTCTCAGCTTGGTTTCTGCAGCTTCATGCAACCATTTGTTCCCGCCCACACGCAAACCAAAATAAACTCCACTATTTTTTTACTGAGCTGTAGAAAATAAAATAAAAAATAAATAAAAAAAGTGATAAAACTGGTCAAGTGGTGAGCTGTGTGATATGCTTGCATATGAAGATTCAGAATGTGTAAACAAAATGGCAAAATGTCTGACATGAGAAACTTCCTGGTTACTGTCCTGGCTGCAGCCTTCGGCCACTAACAGGTGGACAATTATGTCAAGAACTACAGATGCTAAAGATATTGGAGAAAATACAACATAATTGCAAAATTATCATCCGTTTTATCAGAGATTAATCTTTAATTTTTATTTATTATTTGCATTCAAAGCATACAAACACATTGAGCAAAAATCTCTCTATATTTTTTATTATATTCTTTATTTTCTGCTTTTGTGATTTTCTGTTAGCAACATATCTCATGAAACAATGCACACATTTTATTGTAACTTTCAAAAAATAATAATAATCACCGGATGCACATCTACAACTGATCAACTCTTATAATTAACCAGATTTAAGATGGCTGGCACTGACTGACGTAAGCTAACGAAGTAGCAAGAATCCAGCCAGTTTTACAGATATGGAGCTGAAATTTGGGATGGTAGTGGCTGAGAGTAATCCCCATCTCATACTTTGAACACTAACAGGTGGGGAATGCAAGTTAGTGGATGATGAGCACTCTTTCAAGAAATGCTGGTTCCTATTTTTTATTCTAATTTCCACCTGACCCTTTTGTCCTCATCAGCAAAGTCAGATCATAGCTTATAAACCCTTATTTATTCTGACCTTATTTAAAAAGGATTGTTTACCTCTAAGGTATATTTTAAAGCTGTTTAAAGGTTTTCAGAAAACTGACCAAGAACTGTGCGTCACTGAGCCGTCACGGTCCAAGATTGTTCATAATCAGCGTGTGATTCAGCCTCTCCCTCACTGTGGGTGAATGTTACGATTTAATCATGTAGTTTAGATAACCAGTATTTTATTTATGTTCTTATGATGAAAATATTCAAGACTTTAGATTCTTTGAAGGGCAAGTGGGAGATGGACTTGGAGGAATCCATATCAGACACAGTTTGGCAAAAAATTATTCAAAATATACACTCACCGGCCACTTTATTAGGTACACCTGTCCAACTGCTCGTTAACACTTAATTTCTAATCAGCCAATCACATGRCGGCAACTCAGTGCATTTAGGCATGTRGACATGGTCAAGACAATCTCCTGCAGTTCAAACCGAGCATCAGTATGGGGAAGAAAGGTGATATGAGTGCCTTTGAACGTGGCATGGTTGTTGGTGCCAGAAGGGCTGGTCTGAGTATTTCAGAAACTGCTGATCTACTGGGATTTTCACGCACAACCATCTCTAGGGTTTACAGAGAATGGTCCGAAAAAGAAAAAACATCCAGTGAGCGGCAGTCCTGTGGGCGGAAATGCCTTGTTGATGCCAGAGGTCAGAGGAGAATGGGCAGACTGGTTCGAGCTGATAGAAAGGCAACAGTGACTCAAATAACCACCCGTTACAACCAAGGTAGGCAGAAGAGCATCTCTGAACGCACAGTACGTCGAACTTTGAGGCAGATGGGCTTCAGCAGCAGAAGACCACACCGGGTGCCACTCCTTTCAGCTAAGAACAGGAAACTGAGGCTACAATTTGCACAAGCTCATTGAAATTGGACAAGAGAAGATTGGAAAAACGTCGCCTGGTCTGATGAGTCTCGATTTCTGCTGCGACATTCGGATGGTAGGGTCAGAATTTGGCGTCAACAACATGAAAGCATGGATCCATCCTGCCTTGTATCAACGGTTCAGGCTGSTGGTGGTGGTGTCATGGTGTGGGGAATCTTTTCTTGGCACTCTTTGGGCCCCTTGGTAACAATTGAGCATCGTTGCAACGCCACAGCCTACCTGAGTATTGTTGCTGACCATGTCCATCCCTTTATGACCACAATGTACCCAACGTCTGATGGCTACTTTCAGCAGGATAATGCACCATGTCATAAAGCTGGAATCATCTCAGACTGGTTTCTTGAACATGACAATGAGTTCACTGTACTCAAATGACCTCCACAGTCACCAGATCTCAATCCAATAGAGCATCTTTGGGATGTGGTGGAACGGGAGATTCGCATCATGGATGTGCAGCCGACAAATCTGCGGCAACTATGTGATGCCATCATGTCAATATGGACCAAAATCTCTGAGGAATGCTTCCAGCACCTTGTTGAATCTATGCCACGAAGAATTGAGGCAGTTCTGAAGGCAAAAGGGGGTCCAACCCGTTACTAGCATGGTGTACCTAATAAAGTGGCCGGTGAGTGTATTTACCTAGTCACACTCATTAGTTGTGAATTTGTGTTTACTTACTGAACAAGTTCAATGAAACAGTTTGTTGTGAGAAAATTGAACTCAGAAGTAGGAAAGTATAATCCTGTTAAATGATTGGACACTGGAATCGTGTTTAAATTGGCAGACCGATGTCTATAATCAGTCAAATGTTAAAGAGTTCATCACCAGCTCACTCTTCACTCAAACGATTCTCACATTTTCTCTGTTCACAAGCTTCTGAGGAATTGTAGGAGTTGCCAGGTGAGCTGATGAAATACAGAATCAAAGCCGATTTCTTACCAAAAAAAAAGAGACACCCACAAGCATCAAAGATGCCCCCCTGAAGGACATGAAGCCCATCTTTTTGGACAAGCTGTTCTTATAAACATGACAAGATACAATTTTTAAGCCTTTGGGCTTTTTTTTTGGCTCGCCCCTCCGGCAGCAACAATAAAGTTTTCTTTCATTTGAGAGCATCGCAAATATGACTCCTCTGCAGCCTTGATCAGTGTTTTTTTCTAGGATATATTTGCCAGGTGATTTCCCTGGATAGAGGCACACATCAAACCTGATGAAAGATTTAAATTCAAAGCCACTTCCACAGGCTTCAGATCAAATCTTTGTTTAAAGAGTCAGACATCAGAGCCGTGGGGAACGCGGGGTCTTTCTGTGTGGGAGAGCAGGTGGTATTTTACATTTTCTGATTCTCCAGTCTGCTGCTGAACATCTCACCCTCGGGCCGTGCTTCACTTTGATTCTCTCATCAGCGAGGGGTCCAGCTCAGGCAGAACTGACAAGCCTGAAGGCATGTGAGCGAACTGACACGGTCAACTTAATAATCAGACCAAAGTTCATCTATTCAGTAATCTTTAGCAGTCTTTAGAACTGAAACAACTCTAAGGAGACATTGAAGCAGATGACTGTAAATTCAAACATTTCTTGCATGTGAGATGAGTTGATGCTAAAATTTGGCTTTTAAAGGAAACATATTACAATTCTTTTTGAGTTGTGAATTTCTTTGTACAAACAGTTTCTGGAAGGGTAAAGCAGGTGTTTGAGTGACCACATTTAGTCATGCTCCCCATCAATCAGGTTTTTCTGCTCCCAAATACTGTTCATGCTACGCATTTTCTGTGTTAGCACCTGCTGTTTTATTTATAATGCACAGCTTTGAGGACTAGGCACCATGTACACTACATGAAAATGGACTCACTTTCCATTCTTCTCCATTTCGCCGTACATCCAGCCGTCCCTCTCGTCGGGGATGAGCAGGATGATGACATCGCCCTCGCTGAAACTGAGCAGTGTGTTGTTGCTGCCAGCAGTGTGGGGGAAGATGGTACGAACGCGTGGCTTCTTCGCCATGTTGTTGAGGCCGGTGGCGACGGATACAGACCTGGCGAGGCCATTATCGTCTCCGTTCCCGTGGTCTATAGAAGAAATGAAAGAAGGATGAGGAGAAGACGTCTTTAAACCAACATTAGACACAAAGCAAAGTATACTTAAAAGAAAAAATATATATTAAAATGTTTTGTTACCTGTGCTGTTGTTAGTGGTGGGTGTTACATTGGTAGTGTGGTTGTCCTGGTTGAACATATTAACCAGAGCGATTGGCTGAGCCTTCTGAGGTGGGGCAGGGGGAGCAGTCATGTTCTGCAACACAAAAATCCTTCAATGTTTACAGTACAATATGGCAACAACAGGCAGGAACCTCTTACTTTTCATACGTGTCAAATTTTATTTGCCACACCAGTAAAACGTGGCTTCAACAATGGATGTAAAATTCTTTCCCATTGTTTAACCAGGTAAATCTCACTGAGATCACAGATCTTTTTAAAGGGAGGCCTGGGCCTGAAGGCAAATATTGTGCTTGTTTTAGGGGATTGGGGGATACCAAAGTACACGAATAAAACCCACGCAAGCATGAGGAGAATATGAAAACTCAACACAGAAAGATCACCAAGTCCGAACCGGGGATCGAACCATGATGTTCTTGCTGTGAGGTGTCGATGCTAACCACTTATTCACTGTGCTGCCAAAAGTAACTAAAACTCGCTGAAAATATGGGTAAAAGGTGGCTGTTCCAAACATTTATACAAAAATCAATGAAAGCAGTGAAAAAGAAAAAGTGACCCAAACACAGAGCTGCGTTCACTATAACTATTTGAAACAGAATCAATATCTGATTTAAATTTATACTAATGCAATTAATTAGCCTGGTAAAAACCAGACCCTTGTCCTTCACTTTGCTTCGTACAAGGGTCTGGACTCAGCTGTGTGAAGCTGACACCCCACCCACACAAAAAATCAAAACAGGCAAGCGGATTGGTTAGTGCTTCGTTTGTGCAGGTTTGTGCAGTTAAAATGAGCGTTTGTGCTGTTATAGTTTTTGAGATATTAAGCATTATGTCTTTAGGTCTTTAAGACGTTATAATCCCCCCCAGCAAGCTCCGAAATGAACCAAAGTAGTCTACATTATTAGTGCTTCGTTTGTGCATGTTTGTGCAGTTCAAATTAGCGTTTGTGCTGTAATACTTTTAGAGATATTACTAGTTTTTAGTGTAAGCCGATGACGTCATCGTCCCCGCAGCAACTTCCGGAATGGTGACGTCATCGGGCCAATTTTTAACTTCAAATATCTCGAAAATAAAAGCAGCACAAACGACAGTTTYTACTGCACAAACCTGCACAAACGGAGCACTAACGAASTAGSCCACTTTGGTTTABTTTTGAAGCGATATGGGGTGATGGTGAACTGTAGATGACCAAATATDTAATATTTAATATCTCGGAAACCAAAATTGCACAAACGACCATTTTAACGGCACAAACCTGCACAAACGGAGCACTAACCATTCTGACTATTTCATTCATTTTTTGACGTGGGTGGGGTGTCAGCTTCACACAGCTTCTGGACTCTCGACTATAGAGAAGAGATTCTAGCWGGAGGCGTGGCCTCTGCTGAAGTTTAAAATGATTGGATTGGTTGGCCACGATGCATGCGTGCCAGCTCCACTGTGAAGGAGGCTAAGCTAAGAAGCTAACCAGAAATAGCATGTCCTGTAAACAACCCTACTGAGAGGAGAAAAGTACCGAGCCGAACGAGACGACTGCAAATGAGAGCTGCTGCTTTGTCAGACATATTTAATTAAATTTGAAAGCCTTATCAACACAGACTGGCTTCATTCACTTCCTCCACTGCCGAATGCTAAAATAACTAGCAGACACTGCACAGAAAATTGATGACGTTCAAAACTCTGCCTCCTGTTTGCTGATTGGCCCAGGTAAAATAAACTAAAAGCAGACACTGCACAGAAAATCGATGTTCTGTTCTGATTGGCCCGGACGAAAATTTTCCTGAAGAAATCCTTGTTTATGGGAGAAGTCCCAGACGGAGCAGTGAAGTGAAACTAGAATTGAGCGGAGCTGCGTAGGAAGGCAAGGATCAGGCTAATAATTAACAGACTAAGTTTCAAGCCCAAATCTGCAAAACATATTTAGTCTGAGAATCCAAAAATTATGTTCAAAATTAAATCTATTCAATTCAGTTTATTTATATAGTGCCAAGTCACAACATACGTTGCCTCAGGGCACTGCACATTAAAAAAGAACARTCCAAAGAAGAAGAAGTGTCTCAGGTGGCCATCAGCTGTTTTTGCACTGAACAAGAGAAGAATCATTACCGTACATCCCAGAGAGGATGTAGAGTGACATGCTGAAAGTAAAGTGTCGATCCAGTAACTTTAGTATCAATACAGTCTGAGACAAACATTGTGTATTTCTGTGGATTCTCAGTTATCCAGGACATGGAAAAAATAATAAAACAAAGATGAAGCAACTGGTCTTATGTTCTGTAGCTGAAGACATGTGGAGTTACAAGATTTTAACAGCACGAGGTTGGCATCAATATTCAGAATGCAGTCGCTTTGAAAAACATCAGATGTGTTTTCGACTCAGTATCACATACTGAAAAGATCTGGGTTGGACTTGAAGATAAAAATAAATAAATAAATAAATAAATAAATAAATAAATAAATAAATAAATAAATAAATAAATAAATAAAAATAAATCAGATTTGTCTTTTTCAGATTGTCAAGAAAAAAAAATTGATATGGATTGCATAAGGGTGAAAACAATTGGTTTTGGGTCACATTTGCCTGCAGTGTGAACACAGCCTTAGACAATAACCAAACAAAAGCGACTTTTAGGCTGAAACTGTATGCTTGCTGTCAGGGAGGAAGTTGTGAATGATGAAAAAAGTTTTTGTCTGAGGCCCTAAAAGCTCACTTACAATTGAAGCTGAATAGCTCCGATGCAAGGTTTCTGGGAACTGCCCAGCTCTGAGGACTAAAGCTGCAGACAGGAAGTGACAAGAATTCCAACTCTCTTCTATGAGAACCAGTTACTTTCATCCATACATGCTCTTTTACCTGCTTCTTCCCAACATGGTCATGGTGCCCATATCCAGCTGTCACTGTGGGAGGGGCGGGGTACACCCTGGACAGGTCAAAGGTCCATCACAGGGACACACAAGACAAACAACCATTCACTCTCACTCACTCACCCCTAGAGACAATTTAGAGTTACCACTTCATAATATTCATGTCTTTGGAGAAAACCCACACATACACGGAGAGAACATGCAAACGTGGTTGGGACTCAATCCTGCAACCTACTTTCTAAGAGGCATCCGCTCTACCAACTGAGCCACCGTGCTGCCCCAGTTACTATCATATCATCTCCTATTTTAGTTTGAGTTTCAGTCTTTTTCAAATCATTGTAGATTTGGCATCAAGTTTCTATTCCCAAATCTCTCAGTATTTTTGAAAACTACTCAATGCACAGCCGCTGACCTCCTTTCACCGTAACACTGAGCTCCACTCAACTACAAAGAAAGAGTCTCAAATAGCAAAAGTTTCCACCCAAACCCCAGACTCCATATGAACCAAAACACTGATTGTTGTTAGGTGTCAGAAATGAATAATCAGTTTCATCATTTAAGTCTTTAAGGACCATTTTGTTTGATTGCATCAATATTCCTGTCATCACCGGTGCATACATCCGTAAATAGACTCTAAATACTTCTGCGAGGTGTAATTACATCTGAAATGAGTTATTGTTTCACTACATGTCTCATAGAAGAACACTTCTTTAATCGTCCCCTTATCCCTGCCCTCATACCATGCTGTGTCGTGATGGGGAGGGCGAAGGCAACGGCGTGATGGTGACGGGCTTCCTCAGTCCTTCGATCATCGACAAAACGCTCTCGGGCATCTCTGTGGCGTCGGTGCACTGGTCCTGCCAGGTTCTCAGCTTTGCCCCCAATATCTCTCTGCCCTTTTCAACCAGCGTGCAGACAGGACAAAGATATTAAAAGAAATCATGAGTGAATCAGTAAGAGCAGCGCATACAGCCCTGTCACTACGGTAATGTGATATGACTGTGGCAGGTGACCCCCCTGCTGCCCTTGGGTCAATATTGTGTGCTTTAGAGTCAAATCGGGAGAATCTTAAGCTAAAAACATGAATACTTATTTAAAAAATATAGAATTTAAATTACATTTGATTCCATCATATAAATTGTTCTTTCTACAGTATAAAAGCACTAAAAGGTAAATTTTTTCAGGTTTTTAAAGTTTCTTTTAAAGTCTCTTCTAATTTACCTTTATACACAGCTTATTAATAGATGAAAAAAGACTTTTGGACACATTCCTTTCATTTATTTCTTTAAAATATTTTTTTCCAATGGGTTGTTTCATCCTGGTAAGTGCTAAGAGTCACAAGGACAAAAAAAAAAAAAAAAAAAAAAAAAAAAGGGGCGGCTGTGGTGTAGTGGTAGAGCAGCCGGCTTGGGACCTGAAAGTCTTAGGTTAGACTCCCCGCCATGCCCACATGTCGTGGTGTCCTTGAGCAAGACACCTAACCCTAACTGCTCTCCGGGCGCCTCACATGGCTGCCCGCTGCTCCACTTGGATGTGGATGGGTCAAATGCAGAGCACAAATTTATTCATTGTGTGGAAACATACACTGATGACCAATAAAGCACCTTTACCTTTAATTTCATGTGTTTCTTTAATGTGGTTACATTTAGACTTGAACTGATCTTGTTTTCACTGCATTTGTTGTGTGTAGCAGTACTTGTTGTGCGACATTACTACCGTGCACTGCTTTTAACAATAAATGTTGAATCATCAACATCATAAAGTCTTTCCACTGTTGTTACTATTTAAGTAAAAACTGAAAAAAAAAATAAACTTGTTTATGACTAAACAGGTTTAACTCAGGTGTATTAAATTGCATGGTTTAGATTATTTTTATAATATATGCTTCATTGGATTTAAAACCCCGAAGAGTCACAAAAACAGTGAAAGAGTGGATCACATTAAAAATGGATTAAAAGTACTTTAACAGTACACTTGCTTTAAAAGCAGTGCAACATATATTGGCTAGTGTTTTTTTATTTATTTGTTAAAATAGTGGGGGAGTGCATTTTTACCTTGTCGTGGAAGGAAGCAAAGTGATAGGTGAATAAGCAGTGTTTGTCAACAAGGAAACAGTAGCGTCTTTTCTCCTCCAGCAGAGCTTCATTGCAGCTATCTGCGAGGAACAACTGCATGTCCGTCTGCCGACCTGTCAAGGTTTCCAGGCACTGAAAAAAAACCCACAGAAAGCAAAGATTAATCTAAATCAACTCAAGTTTGCTTGAAATACTCATATATTTCTGCACGCATTTATTTGAGTCAATAAATGACTAAAGTTGAGCTAAAGATAAGTCCATCTCCTATAAGTCACTGCATGCTCTTATCTTGCCTTGCACATGGTTTGCAACAACAAAAACCCTTTCATTGTTGACAYATACACAAACCCAACAAGTGTGTGTTACATAAAGAGCAAATCTTAATCTCCCCCATGCAGGGGAACAGGTATTGTTAGTTTGCAGTTTGCTGTGTTGACAGACTGGGCTGCAGGTACYATTTAGAGGAAAAAGAGCAACAACACAAGAGACAAATCACTTGTAGGGAGGGGCTGTGTTGTCGACGCAGACAGCCTCAGACTGTCAAAGGTTAAAAGGTCATGAAAGGAAAGCAAAGTCTTATTTCATTTYATCTTGGATTTTACATTTATTTCAAAAGGTTAAAGAAGTTTAATTACAATGAAGCTTCATCTAGTTTAATTTCCTGTTTTGTTACGAGAAATCAAAATTGTGGAGTATTCATCAGAATTTTTTTGGTTCTGAAAAAAGGAGCGCAATCATACACAGATCTGACTGAAACTACTTTGTTTAGGATCATCTMTGATTTATTGCTAAAGCTGCTTTTTGAGATCYGTATCTCATTCATCTGTCTAGAAGMGACACGCCTGTAACGGCTCCTAACACAATGACTCTGACTCTATTCAGTGCTGGTTGGATAACTCCTTAAATGATGAAGGCCTTTATTCAGCTGTAAGGCAACGTTCAGACATTTGCATCTAGAATTTTTCCAAAGGTACTCTACAAAGGAAATAGAAATCTTTAGTTAAGACAATATCACAGATTAKAACTCAACCTGCTTTATCCTCTTAACCAAAATGTTATACAGCTGTTATTAGAGTTAAATACTTGTTAAGAAGGACAATATAATGTAAATTTCACAACTGCATAAAATGTGAGACAAAGATATGTCTGATTAGCCTGGTAAAAACCAGACCCTTGTCCATCATTTGCTTCGTACGAGGRTCTGGACTCTCGGCTATGGAGAAGTGATTCTTGCTGGAGGCGTGGCCTCTGCTGAAGTTTAAAATGATTGGMTCGGTTGGCCGTGACGTTTGTCKCTGTGAAGGAGGCTAAGCTAAGAAGCTAACCAGAAAACGCATGYACTGTAAACAACCYTACTRAGAGGAGAGAAGTACCGAGCCGAACRAGACGACTGTGAATGAGAGCTGCTGCTTTGTCAGACAAATTTAATTTAATTTAGAAGCCTTATCAACACGGACTGGCTTCATTCACTTCCTCCACTGCTGTATGCTAAACTAACTAGCAGACATTGTACAGAAAATTGACGTTCAAAACTCTGCCTTCTGTTTRCTGATTGGCCCAGGTAAAAAAATTAACTAGAAGCAGACACTGTGCAGTAAATYGACATTCTGTTCTCTGATTGGCCCGGTTGAAACGCTCTCTAAGAAATCCTTGTTTATGGGAGAAATTCCAGACGGATCAGTGAMGGGAAACTAGAATTGAGTGGAACTGCGTAGGAAGGCAAGGGCCAGGTCTGATCCCTGTTTCATATTAAAATTAACCTAGCAACAGCATATGAACACTTCTGAGAAAGAAAACTACATTTGTGTTGGGAACAGACAATAAAAAACACAATTCTGTTTAAAAAAATATCAGATGACTTTTCAACAATCCATTCACTTTAGACATTCCTGTAGAAAAACTATTTGTCACCACGAACAAAGCAGAAAGTCTTTAGTACTGTGAAACAGAGAGAGAGAGACACACAAAGACAGAAAGAATACAGCCCGTAGAGAATTGCCAAAAGATAATTTCAGGGTTTTATGTCTTCGGTATGTTCTGTTGACTGTGTAGGTAGCATAAACAAGAAGTAGAGAGAGGAAACCTGGTTGTAGTCTCCTACCAGTCCTACAGAAAGGACAAACAGGACATCTGAGCATCACACTGTCCTGTCAGTCAAGTTTGACAGCAGGTGAAATAGTTTATTTTTGACAACTGTCCTTGGATCATAAGAGTTTTCCTTGAGTTTGAGGCTGTGATGAAGGCATTCATCCAAGGAACAAACCATTTATGTGTAATTTAATGTACTTATGTTATTCCAATGTTGTTATAACAAACAAACTTGAACTCTTTGTCCCACTAACCGCCGTTCAACTTCGTGGAAATACTKAACTGCATCACCTCTTTGAAAATTATCACGGGATCTGCCCGTATTATATAGAAAGTTCAAAGAACAGATATTTACAGTAGCCTATTTTGAATGCACTGTGTATATTTGTAGCACGGTTTATACAAAATAAAAAAGATTCAATTCAAATTTAACATACACATCTACACCCTGTTAACACTTCTCAAATGTTAGCATTACTGTTAAGCTGCTGCCAACAACAACCTGTTTGTGCAGATACAGGAATAAAAAGACTATCAGATCATGTTTATATAAAACTGGACAGAGATGTAAGAGATAGAGAGATGGATGTTTGTTAGTTTCTTCACACTCAAAGTTTATGGAGAATAGATTTATCAACAAAACATGATTTTAAAAACAATTGTCAATTTTTAACTCATACCATTTCTTTTTTTTCCATTTTTTTCCTTGAAGTTAGAGCAAAAATAAATCAAAACCTGTAACAGTAATTGCCCCTCCCTTGGATCTATTTTTCAGTGTTTGTGCAGTTAGGCTGATCCCTCTTCTAACCCTGGGTAAACTGTTGACAGTACATAAAAACCAACTCACAAAAGGTGAACAGGCTGCCCCGACGGGATCAATGGAGGGCAGGTTACGTAAGAGTCTCTGCTGCTGGGCTTTGAAATGAAACTGCAGGTTTCATTGTGGCAGAGTGACTGTCAGGGTGTGGTGGGATCATATGTTAGACTAATTTTACATTCCACAGAAAATAATTGGGTACATGAAGGTAAGGAAACAATGATACAGTCAGGAAGTTTTGCTCCTGCTTACCTAAACTGGACTTTATATAAATACGCAATCAGATTATTCTCCTAACTAGGAGGTAGAAAACAAAAAATCAAGACTGAAAATGCAGATTTTGCATTAGAATAATAAAAAGTAATAAATTAAAAAGGAAAATAGGTTCTTCCAACATTCAGCAGTTTCTTTTAATCTTTTCACACCCAGCTGAGTTGAGCAAGAGTTGTGACTAAATGATTTCAGTCGTGTTCAGTTGAAAGAAAGAGGGAGGAGAGCACACGGGCGTGTTCATGGAGCAAAAGAAGCCCATGATAAACAAAGGTCTTCTCCTGCATGACTGAACAGGACAGACACTTCACACCATCCCATCTCCTGTTCCACCTGCTGTGATACACAGCAGCTCGGGTGTCAGAGTCTGTCATGTGTTTATGTACATGTGAACATGTCTGCGTGTAACATCTCCACATGACGGGGGCCGTCTCACCTCGCTCTCCTTGTTCTCGTATTTGTTGGCGTTCTTGCCTTGGCTCTTCCTTCTCAGCTTCTTCAGGTCTGCCTGGGCCCTCTCCAGAGAATCTTGCTTCATCTTTTGCTCCATCTGGAATCTCTTAAACGTGGCCTGGATCAGAGAAATTAATCATGTGAATCTTGGAACACCAAGCAGCGAATCTTTGTCAATTTCTGCGAAGCGTCCAATTTACTTCCCAATATACACCAGACACACTAAATGTGACTTACTTTTTGTGGCGTGTAAAGATTTAATTGATATTTAATATTGAATCTGCCTTATGATTATTACATTTGGCTAATCAGATAGACCCTCGCTGTGTTTACATTGTAACAGAAAAAGCCAAAAATAAAAAACAGGAGCTTATTTCTACTACCATATTTTCCAGACTATAAGTTGCACTTTTATTCATAGTTTGGCTGGTTCTGCGACTTATACTCCGGAGCCACTTACCGCACATTTCTATTTTTTCTTCTTCTWGACACATTTTTTGACTGATGTGTTTAGTTAATACTGACCGACACGAACCAAGAATTAAACATTACTGTCTGCAGCCGTGAGAGGCTTGTGTCAACTACGATTTATGTTGTTTCGCTCTCTACTGGTTAAAAATAAATGAGCAGCAGAAAGAGAGTTTGAAGTGAATGAGAAACCTGTGAGGGATTGGTTGAAAAGCAGAGGTTAYCTTACTGCACTGAAGACAATGAAGAAAGATAATTAGGCAACTTGCTTGTTGGAATGCACTGCAATCCGCTGGTTGTGTTTGCATCGCGCAGAGAGCCACCTCACTGTAGGCACTAGCAGATCAAATATCAAAATATATCAAAGTATTTCAAACATGCAAATTGTGTTTTGTTTCAGTATTATTTGGACTACTCTAAACTTGAAGGAAAAGTACCGAAGGCTGTACCGGACCATCCAGCAGAATGCCGCTAATGATGAGAGGGCAGGATGACACAGAGGACTGTAAGCTAATAACGGTAGCTAATGTTAGCTTGTTGTTGGTAACCTRACTTGCTTTTTGGTATCTTGTTGTGGATGTTGTTTAGTTGAACTCGTGTGCGAAAAATCTGTTACAGTCATTGCAAACAATTCACGTAAAGTTACTGTGTCACCTGTTTAAGTTAAAGACTATTTGGCATCTTAAGAGCTATGTTTTGTGTTATTACAGATTAAATGTCTGTTCTGGGGATTTATAGTCAGTTTTGACTTATACTCCGAAGCAACTTATAGTCCAGAAAATACAGTAATAGTATTTCTATGTATTAGTACAGAATTACACTTTGAAATTTCAAATTTTCTAAAGCATCAGCAAACACAGACTGCCCATGATTTGCATTGCTGCTGGTTAAATGGGGCATTTCTTCTGTGTGTTGTGTGACTTAGATAACCTACTTTAAATAATTATTGTGCCTACAGCCATAATGACAGAAAATTATAGCTTCGGCTTGCAACACGTGACCAGATTATGGTGTTTTTCTGTGTAAATAAAAAGCTCACGTCACTTATTAATCCTCTTTAGCTACCCATTCTGTCCATGATCACAGCCGTCAGAAACCTTTTACACAATTATTTTCTGGCATTTCTTCTCAATGAAGTMAAGAAAATAATTGTCGAGGTATAAGAAACATGAAATCTTTTATATGGAAATGTGTTCTCTCGTCAGGGCTGAAGCTGTGCGATGACTTGCATGCTCACAGAAACAGAGAAATTACTCACTGTCATGTATTTGACATCCATGTCAGTCTTCCTCTCCAGCTCAGCTATTACCTCCCTGTGGAACCTCTTAAACTTCAGGTGGGAGGCAGGGATGAGACAAAAGAGAACATTTGTTATTATAAACCTGATGGGAGCGATAGGGACTAGCTTGTCAGCTTTGCTGTCAACAGCAAACAAACAAAAAAACAAAAACAAAAATGGAGTTAAGACTCAGGAAAAAAATGGAAAGTGATCCTTTAGAGTGCATTGCTGAGTGTGTGTGGGGGCGACAGCCGAGTCCAAGGTTGTGCTTATGAATGAGTCAAAACAAAGCGTGGGAATGCCCACAGTCCTCTAACACATTCTCCCTTTCTCTTCACCTCTCATTTGTCTGCAGGTGTCAACGCGTTCGCTCCAGACTTACTGCGATAAACTGCCTGCACCCACGTATGGACGGATCAGCCATTCACAAGACCTCATTTCTGAACTCTWACTGATGACAACGGGGACAGTGCCGTAATACACCGAATCAATACCTCAAAAGGGTCCCACCCCCCTTAGCTGTTTTCTCTAACCTAACCTTTATGTGCAAACAGGAGATTATTAACAAAACAACCCACCCACTGATTCTGTTAGAAACATTTTCTCAGGAGTGCACTGCAGCTTATCTAGCCCACAGCTTCTCTAACAGGCATTTTTTGCTTTTAAAGCACAAAATCTGCATTACATTTTATATAAAAATGTTGCCTATGGCCCTGACTCTATAAAGCTACATACATGTTATCATAGTGTTTATAATAATTTGACATATTCTCCTCCTAACAGCTCATTAAAAATACTACAAATATTTAATTCTTTAAGTTCAGAACTTTTAAAGTGAGGTTCTGTGGAAAGGTTATGAAGAGGTTATTATTTACCACGTTTTGAACAACCTCAGTTTAGTGAAATAAGAGTTTCAGTTTGAGCAGATTGACATGCTGATAGCTAATAAGGCTAATGGCTGTTTTACATCAACTACAGTGTCAAATATTTGAAAGTGGTTCACGAGAACATTATTTTAGAAACCTTTACAACAATATCAGCTTTGAATAACTCAGTTATTCCAGCAGATATCAGCAGCAGTAGCTAGCTGTAGCACTTCTGGTGTAGCCTGGGTTTTACTTCTTGACCTCAGCTTTGGGCAGAACTGATAAGCATTTAATCTTACAACAGCATTTCAGGAAAAAAAACATCTGTTTAATAAAAGTACTATGGTGTTGCATTGAGTTCATACTTGTAATATTACATCACAGAAGAGCACCAGGTGTTGAATCAGGTGTTAAATAAGGACATTTAGTCCCCACCAGATCAATGGAAAGTGGTGCCTGTATGAAAGCAGCTTTAATGAATCTCAATGCAGAACCTCCAGCTGATCTTTCTCAGGCATGTTTAGACTTGCCCTTGTTCTCAACAAGGACAAAAAAATAAAAAAAAGGTACGTATGAGTCTCCAAACAAATCAGAATACTTTATATTTTACTTGAAGCTGCTGTAARTGAAGTAGGTGGGGATGGAGGCATAGTGGTGTTAATTATGTTAGACTAAAGAGAGGGAGAACTACCGGTGGACTGAGCCAGCAACTAATCGATGCTTCGTTAACTGAGGTTTAGTTTGTAGTTGGGTGGAAATCTAATGAGCAACGGGTTCAGGGAGGGATAAAGTTAATTTAAAGCGGGTCTGTATGTGCGCCTTAAAAACATTAAAATCACTCACATTTTCCTCGAGTTCAAGTTGAACCGACCTGTGGACCTCTGAGACTTCCATCAGTATTGCACCTGCCCAAAGGAAATAACRAGGGAGGGAAGGAGGGAGAGAAATCACAGAGGTTAATGACAGAAGACAGTCAAGCAGTAATCCAATCAACCAGTTCTGCACTGAAAGCTGCATGGAGGTTATTTAAAGTTATTCTGCAGCCACAAATATTCTGTACATGACATCGAGCACAATGTATCGCATCACAGTGCTTTCAAGTGAGTGAAGTTATTCAGCAAATATGTGTCACCAAACTTCTGACACTGTGAAAGATMGTCAGCTTGAAAAAGGTAATAGACATGTGTCTCAACCAGAAAAACAAGACCACCTGCTTCAAAGATCATAAAAATCATTTAACCCTGATAGCAATCAAACTAGGATTTTGAGGGCCAAATAAAATAAATTAAATACCCAACATCATGTAAATATTTAAGAGGATTAAAAATCTTTGAGGATTTGACTGACACAGCTCTTACAAATAATAAGAGCAATGTCATGGTTCCTATCAAAGCTTCGTTATTTTCCAGTATCAAAGATTCACTCTTCACCTTTCAAATTCAAGTTCTAACATTACCACTTATCTAGCCACAAACTAAACTTAAGATCTGAAACACTGAATGAATTTAAAGTTCCTGGGTGTTTTTGAAAAACAAACAAGTTGTAGCATTGCTCAACATGCTGTTCATGTAAATGAACAGTATGTTAAAGATGCTTAAAGGCACAGTGTGTAGGATTTTGTCAAGTCTTTTAGCCAAAATTGAGATAATCACTAATGACAATAATAAAAAAGATGTCTAATCATTGCAGACAAAGACTTTGTTTTATTATTTTTACCTTATAAAAAGCTGTTTATATCTCCATGGTCGCGGGTCGCCATTACAGGCAGCCGCCATCTTG